CAAGTGACCATGAAACTGCACGTCATTCGATATATCGATGCCGAAGATTTCGATACTGGCTGAGGCAACAAGGGGAGTGCCTTGAAACTGAGGAGATACAACTAAGGGTTTTTTTTAGCGGTTAACGCGGAAACTTGTGTCTTCTGAGGGTTAAACTAGACTAGATTTAGTCGCTCCCAATCCGAGACTTTATTCAGCAAAAACTCAGTTCAGAGTTCAGACAAAAGTTTGTTCCGGCACTCGTAGACGTTTTCCCGAGAAATATTGCCATGGCCGGTGTACAGAGCATTACAAGTGCTGTCATCTGCATAGCAACGAATGTTGCCAGCTGGCAATATATTATTGATATGCAGAAGAAACGGCGTTGGTGATAGCATGCAGCCTTGTGGAACGGTAGCATTATTAGGCTTCTAATCAGAACTTGCAACGTCTACAATGACCTTGATGCTCCAACCTGCAAGAAAGCTGGTTATCCAATTGCACAATTTCTCGGGAAGCCCATAGAAAGGGAACTTCGAAAGAAACGCTTTGGGCCAAATCCGATCGAAGGCCTTTGCTATTTCCAAACTAACGACCAACGCTTCCCCTGCGACTCTATTCCTCTATTGCCTCGGCCCATTTATGGTTAGGTAACCCAGAACATCACCAGTCGAGCGACCGCGACGGAAACCGTACTAGCGGTCACTAATTAGCTGATGATCCTCAAGGTACCGCATGAGCTGGCTATTAAAAACGGACTCTATTATTTTAGAGAAAAAGGAGGTGATGGCGATAGGCCTGTAGTTGGACGGATCGAAGCTGTCGCCTTTTTTAGGGATCGGGTGGAAAAAAGTCGTCTTTCATGATTTTGGGACTACGCCTAGGGAGTAGGAGTACAGAAAACGACACGTTAAGATCGGTGCCAACTCTGAAGCTTACGTGTTTCTCACAGTTGGAATTCCGTTAGCACCTTGATCTCCGCATTTTTTTAAGAAGCCTATCATTGGCTTTCTCCTTTGCGGCTTGGACTATTGAGTCGTCCTCCCTGTACAGAGATGGAAGAGATGGCTGACAGAAATTCCCCTAGACAGCCTTAGCGAGAGACCAGAATGCACGGGTTCCAGAAGAAAGGCGAACTAGTTTCTCGCCAATTCTGCATATGTGCTCAGACTTTGCCTTGGTAATAATTCTTTAGAAGGACCTGGAGGCAGAATAATACTTATTTTTTAGAGCGCTGGTGTTTACATCCCGGGACGTTGATGCGTCAGCCCAGGCTTGGTAGCACTCCTGCTTATAGCATGATGCAATTTTACAGAAGCGACCAAACCATGGCTGAGATTTGACTCCGATGTGCACCACATACGAAGGAATAAAAAGCTCTATACCCTGAAGTACCACATCAACAACAACGTTGGGATCGTCTGGAGAGAAGCAAACCCGACCCCAAGTGTAGGATGCAAAGAAAGACCGCATCCTATCCCAATCAGCTTACCTGTAGTGCCAAACACGGCGACAGCCTGCAGAATGCAACCGCGATTTTAGCGTGAGTGGCACCACACTCCGGACAAGACAATGGTCCGCCTAAAGGGGCGTCAACGGAAATATGATAACCGCCCAAATGAGAGGTCGACAGAACGTTCAACAGGGAAGATGCATGATCCTCCACATCTGATATCCGCGTAGGGGAAGTAAGCAGTTATTCCTGACCATATGCTAAGGCAGAATCATTAACAGATTTCGCCATATGATCGGTTAAACGTGAACCAAGCCATTCGGCGTAGTGGGCATTAAAATTGCCGAGGATCATAATTCCTGCGGAGGGGATCTGCTGTAGAAAAGAATCTGTAGCCATTTGGACGTGGTCGAAGAGTCGGTCTGTTACAGAACTACCGCTATGGGACCTATAGATGCGCCTGTAGACACGCGGATGGTCGTCAATGTCTACGCGTAGCCAAAGGTTGGACAGGTCCGAGTCTTCAAGACTGCCGAGGCGTCGAGAACAGATGTACTCTCTGACATATACGCAAACTCCTTGCACGAGGCACAAAGGAGTGTTCTAGTTTGTACCCCGCGCAGGAGAGATCCCCCCCCTCAAGAATACACGGGGCAGCCTGAGCACCCACGCTCAGGAGTGAAGTAACTTTGTCGTGGATGATCAGCGAGGGATTCTCCAGGGGTGCTTGGTCCACCTACACTCACCAGATGAAACGCGGAAGCTGAACTTCCACTTCACGCCGGTATTCTGTGAAGTTGTGGTACCACCCCAGTTTGAGCCGGTCCATACGTGCAACAGCAAACCTGCCGATTGGCTCTACAGTGCTGCTTAGGGGCAATTTCATAGGTAAAGACTTATTATTAGTCAGATTAATACCCACTATTTACTTATTTTTTTTACTAATATCGAATGCGAATGGAACTAATGACGAAAAGTCATAGATTAATTCAGCCTATATATGTTCCAGTCCTGAGCACAGGAGACTGCTTATATTACTGAAAACCCTTTGAATAGGGCAAGAGTAGGTCAATATATCGCAAGGTATGTTAGTGAATATTAAACCATGTTTGTAAAGGATGTGCAAATTTCCTAGGCATGTTTATGAAACACGTGCTAAAAGTTGCAACTTCATTGGTACCGGTGGAATTAGATCTCGATTGACCCCGATTTACTAGCTACAATTATCACTATAACTGAACTCTTACAAAAATTACGTTTTATAAATCATTAAAAATAAACTTAAACGTTTATTAGTAACTTCCTCATAATATGATAGCTTGTGAACTTGGCGTTATCCGTGGATCTAAGAATAAATTCTCCAACTTTAGGAGTTATTTAATTGAACGATAATTGTTTAATTATTTAGTTACTTGGACAAAGAAATATTACAATATCATGGTAACTAATAAAATAGTTGTCTTAATATTTCCATTAAAAACTTCATTCCTTAACCGTTCACGATTATGTATAAGATATTGGGAAACATAAAAATATGAAAAGAAACATTCGGAGTGAATTGAGAATCTCCTTCTTCTTTGAAGTGAGCTCAAAGTAAAGTAGCGTTTACGGAACAAATAACGTAGCATCAACAATTCTATGAAATATTACGCGCTTCCTGTGCGTGCCTTTCACTTTGTTATCTTTAAAATTTTGACCAACGAGTGTGCACAAACATCAACAGCTTTGTAAGTGTCCTTATTGAAAAGTGCTCTAAAACGTTTTACAGATGGAGCTTCGTTTAATTGAGAAACTACTGGAAATAATTGAATAAGCGCTTATTTTGTCTGTACTGTCGCTTATTTTAAATGCTGACTGATTGTTTTAGCAACTTTTGAGAACGAGGCTTAATACATTTTCTTTACAACATAATATTAGCTTTCTGGTCTGAAAGGTAAAGACAACGAGTATAGTTACAGACTAAGAGGTATTCTAACTCAGTCCTCAGCAGAGACAGCGCATCTGTAACCTTCTTTGTTGGAAGTTGGCTGCAGGTGTCTGCGGAGACTGCAATAGCCACTTACCGACAGCTAGCCTGAAACTTCGTTTGTCACTTCAGTTTTGTAAAAAAAGACGATGAAATCTTTCGAACACCGATGAAAATTTCATAATACTTTATAAATAAAATGATGAAAATGCTGTGAAATTTTATGATATTATGTAAATTGTTTTCCTTATATTATTTTTGTTTTTTTTTTTAAATAGAACATTTTCGGGTTAAGAATGTTTTACAAATCTATCGCTGATCAAGCCTACACACATTCGATACAATGACTTCGTTCAACTCTTACTTTACTGGCAACGATATTTCAACATAACAAATTGGAATCCATATCCTTGCTTTTCGGTATACGGCGAGCTGGGAAGCAATTATGAATCAATTTATTTGATTGTTCGTCCGTGAACTGCCTTTATTGATGGATGTCGTGTGTGCTTACTCTGCGAACAATATCTTGCTTAGTTATTTTGCCCCTATCAACTATGTAAAAATGAAAAAACATATTAATAAAATAAATATATTTTTCTTTTTTTTTTGTTATAAATAATAATCATATCTCGAGGTTTTCAGGACTCATGGATGATTATCTGTATACAATTTAAGTCTGTAAACCGCCTTTAAATTAAAGATTGTTTTACAGTGTTAACATTTATAAACAAAAGGGTTTCATCCCTTTCGGTAAATTTATAATAATTTTAGACTTTTTTACTTCATAAAAAATAAGTTTTTCAAAGTAATAATAAAATTCAAAAGAATACAGAATGAAATAAGATGACACTTAATACCAGAATTTATGATTAAAATGACTGTGCGGTGATATTACCTACGATAAGAAAATTTACACTTATTCATGAAATTATGAAACTTCGATTCCCCTGGTGTTACAGATGTTCATGGTCGGCGGTAGTCACTGACTATCAGGTGAGTCGCACGCCCGTTTGACCGTTGTTATATAAAAGGAGCAAATTTTAAGCTTAAATGATGTAATGAAAAGACACCAAAACAAGTCGAAAACACAGACGACTTTAAAATACTATAAATTAATAAAGTCAAATCATGTCAAAACCAATAACATATAGTTGGAATATAAACGGATCCCTTATTTAAAATTAATGATAATATACATGGAGTCACCTAAATGGATTATAGAAATATAGAAAAGCTCACAAGGTTTATATAAATATCGAGTAAGCCGCTTTCTGAAATTCATTCATAATAAAAATTTCGGGTCGAATTATCAAACGGATTTTAAATTCAATTTCTGGTTTAGCTTGAGCCTCTTTGAATTGCAAAATAAGGGAAGAAGTAAAGAAAACCCAAAAATATTAAATATATTTTGAAGCATTATAATGCAGGTATCGAGTTAAAAAGAAAAATAATTTACATACCTATTTCTTATGGCCACCGATGTTTTATTATGATAGTATGCACATCAAAGTTCTTGGAAATCCGTCCAGTAGTTTTGGCAGAATTGAGAATAAACAGTTTGAAAAAAATTCTTGAAATCCCTTCTTATATTTCAAGATTATTTTAACAGCATATAATCGCCTGGCTTTTTTTGCTGTAAACTATTTATATAGAGAATTATTATAAGTATAAATATACATAAATATTATATTAATCGATTTAATACATAAACCTAACAATTGTTCATTGAAAAAACCTGGTTTAAATTGTATATCAGACTGCGTAAGAGGACGCTTATATTTTTGGCTGTTATACTTGTAGGAGTGAGAAAGTTTTAATATATAATATTTTATTTTATATATTATACATTACGATCGTTGAATTTGGGGTCTGCCTAAACATATAAAATGTCTTTGAATAATGTATTTGACAAATGACATTTGTAGTAACGACTGCTCAGGAAGACACTGGCAGATTTCTATCAAGAGAAGCCATAATTTAAAAGAAGAAGAAGAAACCTTCAGGCTTGCACACCCCGTATTTCTTCATCGCTGAGCACGTGGTTATGGTGGTGGTGGTATAATTAGGTGGTAAATTAGCTACAAAGAAAAGGCGCCTAAATAAATACCATCAGATTTTTTTTGTGTGATGTCATTCTATGCTTTTAAACTTCTAAATATTACAAATTATGCGAATAAATACTAATAAATATTAAAGTAATACTCGTGTGAGTACGGATGAAGCCTTTAGAATGGAGCTTGACCAAACTTTGATAAGGAGCGATCACACTGGGGACATAAATTATACTTTGGGCAGAACATTTAAGCTTTCGTTTAATAAATACTACCTATGTGATTTTATCATAACTAAAATATTATGCTATTTTAGTATTTGATAATTAGCACCAATATTATTTTTTTTTTACTATCTTGCGATCTTCTGTCGCATTCCATGTGATTTTATAGATGTAAGGATGACAGAATAAAGAGATAAAAGAAACGTTCCCGAGCGTCAGCCTCACACCAGTAAGCGAAGTGTAGGGTCCTCCTCTAGATGTATGTGATAATGATATATAGTGAATGATAATGACAAATAAAAACAAAGTACAGCCGATGGTAAAATGCCTGTGACCTATAAACACAATTTAGAACGTACAAAATGCGTCTTCCTTCTCAACTAAGATAGAATGCCTCGATACCGGTTAAAAATATTTCATTCCTCCTGTTTATGAGAGTTTACGTTGTAATATGTGTAAGCCTGCGCCCTCTTTTCCCAAAAGAGGGTCGCTTCCGATACGGCATAAGAAGCTTAAACAGCTGGTTGCCAGTCCCCAAAGGCGGTTTTTAGAGGGTATCACTTAGGTTCCCCCGGTAGGCAGTGAGTCCCTCATAACCACGAAAGACCGGCTGTCGTGGTATGCGTAATGAATTTTCCGCCTCCCTACATAAAGGGTAGCCCTTTCCAATAGCTTCGGGTGCAAAAAAAATTAAAAAGAAAATGTGTAAGCGTGCTTGGTTTCCGATCAAGCCGACCCATTCTTACAGCCACATTACACAATACCATAACATTCTCTTCACAGCGGATATTTTTTATCAAACTGAAACTTTATCTAATTGCTAATTAGGTTTTTAATTTCCTACTGCTAACTTTTTTGGCATTATTTCCTTATACAGTAGAACGCAGTAATCCCTTCACTAGAGGGTGTAGAAATTCTCCCAAATTTCCTCCCTGATGTCTCAGATATGAATTAACGATAAAGAAAATCTAACAAAGATATTTCGTCTAATGGCTTAATGCCCCTTCACAAATACGAAAAAATTGGACAAAAAATGGTTGTTCAATTGTTCGCTGTCTGCCATTTCCTTTTCCTTTTGTTTTAAAAACTAGAAACGGATACCTTTATTAAAAAAGCACCTAGAAACGAATACCTTTATTAAAAATCTACCGTATAGCTATTTTTTACTTCTTCAGCTTGGGAAAAGTTAATTCTACATATGATCCTATCCCGTAGTTACATCATTATCCGTCCCACAGCTGGGCACAGGACACTTTTCATTTTTGAAAGTGTCATTATATAGACTTGTCATTATATAGACTTGTCCACCACGCTGCTCCATTGCATGTATCATACTTCACTTCTCTTTGAAATATTTTATTCATTAGAGTAGTAGGTTTTCTTGCCAGTTTTTTACCACAGAGTTTATGGTTAATCAGCGTTTAAAACTGTTATCCACATTGCCGGCGGGAATCAAACCTAAGTTGCCCACGTACGGTGAATGTTACTGCCCCATGGGAATCATGGTAGCTCCTGAGCCGCTACAGTTCTCATGACAGTGTAATATTACAGAGAAGATGGGCTCCATTGCTAAGCCCTGAAGGTGAACTAGCGATGGCTGTACTAGACGTGTCATATTGATTACATTCTATTTGAATTTGACGTTCTCAATTTTTCTAGGTGATAGGACTTTTACAATTTCCTGTCGCCAAACAGTGAAAAAGACAACGCGTCTATAGCCTCTATTGGCTGCATGTGTCTATGCACTGCAGTTGCCAATTACCATCAGGTGTACTGCATGTTCGATTGTCACTTTATCTGTTTCAAAATTAGTTTCACTTATTCCAAAAAAAAAAAAAACATCAGTCTACGTATTTTAAGTTTGTAAAATAACATAATTATCCCCATTGTTATCATCGTTCCATCAAATTACTTTACCTAATATATGCTTACCACACAAATTGTCTCACAGGACCATAGTTGCACCCTGCCTTGGGTTGATAAAGTACTTTTTATGTTATGTGAAAAACGCTGCTGCCTATATCCTGTTTTAATTTCATTCTATCGTCTGTTACGACTCCCATAGGATAGAATGGATTCTCTTATGCAGCCATTACCTTACTCCCAATAGCTATACTTATCCTCAATTTCATTAAATTTTTACATTTATATAACCTATAACCAAGGCAAGCTTGCTTGATACTTGGTTTTACCATCTTATCACGTATTCACGTATTCCTTTTTATCTAAAAGCAATTGTTCTTTATTTAAAATTGGGAAAGAGTTATATAAACAGATGCATTCTAGTAAATACATTTGAATGTAGTATTTCAATATCCGTCGATTAAATAAATATTTTTCAGAGTCAACAGATGTTGTTCAACCTTTTACAATATATGGCGCGATGAATTTCACTGCGAATTCCCTTCACAATTTAAAGTGTAAGAACATTTTTAATAACTTATTGGTCGTGGCACCTTATAACTTATTCAGTTCAGATTTTGTAATTTTTTTTTCGTTTTTGAATACATATTATGTCGTAGACTATAAATAAATATGTTAATAATTATATATAACTATATATATCGTATTCACAAAACAAACAACCGATATTTTGAATTACCGTTACAGCCTATTAAAGTTCACTGCTGAATATGGGCCTCTCCATAGATTGCGTCATAGGTGGAATATTTGCCATAGCTGCCACGCTAGGTAAGTGGGTTGGTAACCGCAGTTTTTTTAGCCCTGTACGTGGTTTAGCAGTTACACAATCACTAAAAGACGAAACAAATATTATAATCTTTAAAAAAAAAACTTCTTTTAGTATAAAAATAATTTAGTTCTAAAATCTATTCAACTACAATTCCATTCTAATAAAGCGGAGTGCACAATTTCAAGCTTCTGAAATCTAGCAACAATAAACTAAGTGCATTGTAGCACTAAAGTTTCAGACAATAGGTTGATTCACAAGTTTATTTTTAATCAGATTAATTCTCTTTAAAGATAGTTTTCCAACTCAGATCTATAAAAAATAGACAAAACGTTGCAGACGTTGCAAGTGAAACAAAGCAAAGCTCAACAATGCTCAACTAAGCTCTACACATCCATGTTCTCTGCCTATGAACTCACTTTACTGTTTAGGTGCATCTAATATTATTTGCAACCAACAACGTAAGTGGGTCCAGGACTGGACTTTTATGGGCTGCTAAAAAAAAAAAGCGGGAATGATGTGTAAACGTTTTAAGAAGATGATAATTATTTTAGAGTCGCTAAAAGTGCGCTCTGTCTATTTATCTTTGTTGGTCTGTGTTTTCAAGCTAGATTTATTTAAGTTTGATTTTACTTAAATATGTTCTGAAAGGTATTAAAACTTTAAATTATAACATCTTTGTTAATTCAAAATATGATGAAAAACATAGAATAAAATTAATGAAAATAAATACTAGTGTAACTGTATCGGTGTCGCTGGGGTTACGTTTGGCAGAGTTATGGGCGAAACCACGGGTTCGTATACCGCTCCGAACAATTTTTCTTCCATATAAAATATTATGATATTACGATGCAACTGCAGTCCATAGACTTCTTTTTTTTCGCCTTGAGAGGCAAGGATGGGTGTCGTCGAAATTATATCGAAAAAAAACCCATGATGTACCTTTGCCCCATATTGGCAACGCCAAGGGAATGCTTTTGCATACATCGGCGGCCCCGCCAGCGCCGGCCGCCCCATTCTCGGTAGAGGACAACTCCTTCCCCTTCTCCTTTGAAAGTAAGTCACATCAGAATACTTGGCGTACCTACCTCCTCGGCCTCTTAATCTGCCTGAGCATCGAACCCCCCCGAATCCATTCCGCGGAAGCTACGGGGCCAGGAAAGTCAACCAATCGTAAGCACCAGCCTTCCCGTCCCCAGAGGCGGATCTATATTATGGCTCCGCTGCCAACCAAGTTTCGGCTGCCGAGAGTAGGGAGAGAGGTGCCTCGTAATGCCAACATTACTCTCACCTCGCAGCCCCACCACTATCACAGCCCCACCACTATCACAGCAACTCTGTGATTCTGCCAAAGTCGCGAGAAATAGGTGAGTGGCGCAACGCCATACCAACACTTCTCTGTCCCTGCGGCTGCCGCGGCTGCGGTGGAAAGGGGATGCCCACTCGGAGCGGCAATCTCGGGCCGGCTATACACCTTGGGCCAGCCAAATGGGTTCCTATTGTTCACTTTCACTTCACTTGTCTAATAGGTCTAGTAAGTGGGTATATTAAATCTTAATTTTTAACTCATTTTCATTGATTACTATGCTAGGGTATTTTCGTATTTTTTTACGTATTTTCTTACGTTTCAAACACTTGCGCTACAGCTGTCAGTTTAGATTTATTTCACTACATTGGTCAGCCATCTATGGGGGTTATTGACCTGGTATTCCCTAAAGCCAACGTATACAGTACATATGAGAAAGTATAGAGTGAAAGATTCTCATACACCAGCACCCCAAGCCGAATATTTTATTTAAAAGGGCACAGCATAAACGTAATTAAACTATATTAAATGCGTGTCAAAATTTTAATGAACCAAAATGCAACATTTTTCGTTTAACTCACAATCTTTTGCTCCTTTGTACGTGAGATAGTCCGGGCACGATGAATCGTTAGCCATACACATGCCGCCACGATGACGGCATCTCTTTTCTGATTTTGGCACTGCAATGGTCATGAGATATTAAAGTAAAAAAAAAGCAAAAAAAACCTAGACGTCATATTCTTGAAATTGTGTTTAAATTTCTTAGACATGCATATTTCATACGATATTCGTGTATGCTAGCATGTTAACATGTATGTGTCTGAGGCCGTTATAATATTGCTTAAATCATTCATAGTCATTAATTATTTTTAAATTTGTAACTTACATTGTATGATTTTTTTATTTTTATAAATAAATAAAAGATGAATTGAACTTACGGGAGTGACAACATTCGACGCTCATTCGTTGCTGTACAGGACATAATCCAGAGTATTGAGAGCGTTTACCTTCTGGACAGTCAGAAGTATTCATACATATTCCTCCAACGGACAAGCAGGGTATTTCATTGAATGCCTCTTTTGGATCTGGAGATTACAAAATATTTAAAGACCCTTTTAAAAATACTATTTCAACGTAATAAAAACTACTCTATACATACAAACTTTACTTTTTACTTATTACAAAAATTCTCGTCCTATTAGAAAAAAAGCATAATTTATATAAAAATAATAAAAATTTAGTAAAACAAATTCTGTTGCGTTTATCCCTTTTTTTAATTACAGACGTTAAGGCAATTTTCTGGTATTTCCTTTGATAACTTTAACATCAGTACTATAAACACCTCAGTCCCTCTTCAGTCCCCGTGACTAAGAATGTAGCAAAGCGACCAAAACGTCAGAAAAAAAACTAAGACCGAATTCGATAAAACTTTTTTTTTCAATTTAATAAATGAAGCATTAATTTATCGAATAATTAAAAAAATTCCAATTAAAAGTTTTAAAATTCACAAAAAAGGACGTTAAAATTTAGAGCTTATAAGTGGATAATAAGCACTTTTTATTCCCTAGTATGACGTATATGACATTTTCGACTAAAAGAAAAGGAATTGGACGACTTGTAAAACGACGAGGCCACAACCAGAGAAGTATGAAGAAGTAAGTGAGCATGACGTACTTATGTCCTTCAGACACTTTTTTTTTTTATAGAATAGGGTGACAAACGAGCACACAGTCCACCTGATGGTAAGTGGTTGCTGCGGCCCATAGACATCTACATCTATTCTCCATTAAAAATCAAAATGCAGATGCGTTGTCACCCGTGAGGACTGAGATAGAATGCCTCGTTTCCAGTAAAAAGGGTCTCCGGTTCTCTACACTCACCATACGAAATACAGCAGCATTAAGCTACTATTTCACGCTGGTATTCTGTGAGAGCGTGGTCCTTCCCCGGTCGAGCCGACCCATTCGTGCTACAACTATACTACTAATATAACTGCAGCATGGCTCTACCACGTATAAAACACTAAGATATATCTCCCAAAACATTCAGAAGTAAGACCGCTTATTAAATATACTTGTAATTTCCTGTAGGACCACTAACAATTATCTTCTAAAGAATTAAAATTTAGTTAAGTATAATATAAGAACAAACGTTAACTCATTTTACTAACCTTTGTCATTATTTTCGCTTGTGTATCTACTGGGAGGTAACGCTGCTGTACTAGTTACTATAATGATCACATAAATACCTGCAAACAACATTTTTTACACATCCGTCCGTCACACCTCATACTGAACCGACAAATGCAATTTATTTAAAAATACTAATACATTTATACGTAACGCCCGCATCAATGGTATGCAAATTAACTTTTCAATTCGATAACGTTTGTTTATTGCATGGGTTTCCTTTATAGATCAAGCTACGTAATGTTTTTAGTGTTCATCAACTCAAATTATGAAGCAATAAAGTCTAATTGAAAAGTCCACACTCCTAGACATTTTAAGTGGAAACTATCAACTGTTGGACCAATCTCCTCCAGAGATTACTTTATAGGGAGAGATACTTGACATAGTTGCCACGTTAATCACCGGCGGGTTGGCAGTTTTTTTTATAGTAGAGGGGCAAACGAGCACGCGGCTCACCTGATGTTAAATGACTACCGCCGCCCATGATCAACGGCAACACCAGGGGAATTGCATGTGAGTTGCCAGCCTTTTAGAAAGGAGTAAGTTCTTCTCTTAAAGGTCCCCAGGTCGTATTGGTCCGGAAAAATCGCCGGTGTTAAACTATTCAGACTATTCATAGCAGATGATGGAGAGCTTCCAACCCTATCTCTTATAACTTGGAGACCGTCCGTTGTGCAGTATAAGGTATCGCATTGTTATAGAGGAGCATTGGGGATAAACAGTTGACCAAAGCTCCGTCATTGTGTTCTTGCTCTTCAAGAAAGGTGATAATGCTCTCCTGAAGAACTAAAGACCGATTTTTCTTCTAATGCGCATCTACGTGCTGTTTTTGAGAACCGTTACAAATCGTCACGCTTCACGTTTAACGACTTCCAGCCTCCCGGAAAACATGGATTCCAATAGACCACATAAATATTCTAAAGTATAGAAGTACAATTTGCCGAAGAATACGTATGTGGTCTTCAGACAAAAGGGTACAATCTACTACATTTCCTTGCGTATTCAAACTATGAGAAAGTCTTTAATTCCGTCAAAATTAAGTAGTGCTACAGTCTCTTCAGAGGTGCCAAGTTGACTGTCGGCATATTGAAAAAATAATGAAAATCTTTATTGCAATAAAAACGAATTTATGCATATAAGTGTGATCCTAGCTCCTGTAAAAGGTTAACCTGTGTAACAGGAACTAGTTCCTTCCTAAATTTAACAAGTTTTTGTTGAATAAAATCACAAAAAAAAATACAAAAAATATATATAGATCTACTTGTTACTAAACCTACGTACATGCGCGTCGTGTGTGTGTGTGCGTGTGTGTGTGTGTGTGTGTGTGTGTGTGTGTGTGTGTGTGTGTGTGTGTGTGTGTGTGTGTGTGTGTGTGTGTGTGTGTGTGTGCGTGTGTGTTTGTGTGTGTGCGAGTGCGTGTGCGTACATGAGTGTATGTGTGGTGAGAGTGTGTTTTTACTATTTACTGTGAAGATTTTATATTTTGAAATTTGTATGATTGCCTGCATTATTAATGATTTATGCGTATCAAATAATATGAGAATAATAAAAAATTACAATTACATTTACATATTAGAGGTTTAATAGACATTCGGTAGCGTCATAGTCATAAGTTTGAAGCCAATTAATAATTTTATCTTTGATTTGATGGTTGTTGTAGGTTTTAGCAATACAAATTTTGTTAAATTTATTGTATAGTACTGGCGCAAGGTAAAAAAATTGTCTCTTAGCAAAAGCACTATTTGTTCCAGGGACTAAGTATCTATCTACTTTATTTCTTCTATTATGTTTTATACTGTCAAGTTGAGAGTGTGCAGAGTACCTATGGAATCGCCTAATACATTGGTATATAAATAATTTTCTCACACTAAGTACCTGCGTTTTATCATACAACAGTGTTGTGGGATGTCTATACGGGAGAAAAAGTAATACTTTGAGTACAACACGTTGAGCTCTTTCATCTATTAAGTACGTTTTGGCTGCCCCACCCCAGGAACAGATCCCATAAGTGATGACAGATTGACAGAGCGCATTAAAAGTTTGTATCAGTAACTTAGAATCTGCCACCTGAAGCAATGATTTAAAAACATATGAGTTTCCTTATCCTGTTTGATATGATTTTGATATGTGGAGCCCAATTCAGATTTTCATCGACAGTGATCCCTAAGTATTTCACAGTTTTGGACCTGTTCAGTTTTGGGCAATAGCAAGGGGTCTGTGATTGTCTATTGCATTTATTCAAGTGTATTTGTAATCCAAGACCGTTCAAAGGACTTGAATCACTAGTCTTACTAAAACAGAGGTTTAATTTATTTTCCTTATTTTCTTTATTAAATTTTTTGACAGCATGCAAAATCCGTTCCTTGAGAATGACAGATTTAAGATCGATTACTAGGGGTTTGTTTTTCTTAGCGTTAATGCGGAATATATCCTATATCCTTAACGTCGGCTTCGTGTCGACTATTTTAGAGAGTCCCTGCTTACTTTCATAATTTGCTTTTGGAAAATTTCTTATCTCTAAGCTGGTAGTACGGGCTTGCCTCTCTAGTTGGTCTATTTTATTTTAGTTGGTTTATTTTCTAATTGACGTATGTATTTCCGATCTTCAGCAATATCCTTTTTAATTTTTTGCAAATTTTCCAGTACCTCCTCATATTTTGCAGCTGTGAATTTAACTGATTCCTTAAGCTCTTCGTTTTGATCTTTTATCTCGTTCATTGTAGTCTTTATCTTTTGGAACATATTCATCATTAATGACTTAAAGTCGTCTAAATCACTCTTTTGTCCTAAATTTTCCCTCTTCCTTTTTGTGTTAAATTTACGCTGCGTCACATTAGATAATACATCCTCGATATCCACAGATATACTCAAGTTTGGATCTGAGTGTGTGTGTGAGAATGAACTACGACAACATTTAAATTTGTGGGCGTTAGCGGCGGGGTTCTCTATAGCGGCATATTGTACCCATACGTGGATGTACCAGGGCAACAGAAATTATTCGTAGATTGTTAATACAGCTACTATACAGCGTAAAACACACTAACTTAACCCTTATGAAAGTGATACAAGACGTGAGAGGTCAGATTAAATTGGTGGCAATCGATGATTTCTTACAAATTTCCTTTCCGTCTAGTATTAGTAGATCTCTAGACGGTAATTATTACTTAATTAATATATATTACAAATGCTGTCTCAATTCGCTTAGAAGTAGTGCTTATGCTTTAAAGGTGAGATAGTAGATTGCAAAAGTAACTCACATGCATAACAGTGTCTTTGTTTTTTGTATGATTGTATTGTTTCGTCGCACACGCATCCACACTGCGGTGACAATTTTAAGCTTGATGTTCTTCGTAACGTATGATCTCCTATTATTCCACTAATATTATTTTAAGAATATACACGTCTGATTTTCTCAAACGTCCGGGGGGAAGGATTATTGTAGTAGAAGGATATTGTAGTAGAGATAGGCCGCAGCTGTTTGAGAAGTATAGTTGTAACACGTACGGGTCGGCTCGACCGGGGAACGACCACGTTTTTACAGAACACCAGCGTAAAATAGCAGCTTATCACTGAGTGTAGTGAACTGTTGACAATTCTTATTGGAAACGAGGCATTCCACCTTAGTACTCACGGGTGGCAACGAATCTGCATCTTGGTTCGTAATCGAGGATAGATGAAGATGTCTATGGACTTCAGAAACCACTTAACATCCTTATCCTAAAAAAATATCGTCATGCTAATGTGTTTTACAGTAGAGCTACGATGGCTATCCGAGCACAGGGCTACAGTATGATGTATTATTATGATATTTCTCTGGAACTCTTTATTGTTTCATTAAAATACGTTTTACAGTTACTGGACTGGAAAGGATACAGTATTAACATCAATGACGAGACCAGCACTCACCATTGATTTGCCGATGATGTATTCTTTATCGCAGAATCGATGGAGGACCGATCACTATGCTCAATGACCTAGTGTCTTCCAACGGGTAGGATTTAAGATGAACGTGAACAAAGCAAAGATCCATCCAGGTAACGTACATGCCACACCCATGCCGGTAGTTTTTAGGAGCACTAAGCTCAAAGTAGTTTATGAGTATGTTTGTCTGGAACAAATATTCCGACTAGGTAAGTCCAACTTCGACCGAGAGCTCAAGGACTAATTAAACTCGGATGGGCAGAGTTCGGCAAATTAAGAAACATCTTCTTTTCGTCCTCAAAACTTGAAAACAAGATTGTAAAACCAGTACATGCTGCGCCAGTGATGACTTATAGTTCTCAGACGTGGATATTCACTGCTGGATGCATGAGGAATCTTAAGGTTGATAAACTAGTTACGAAGAAGGTTATGCTGGTGGCTTCTTTGCATGAATCAATTACAAATGAAGATATTCTCAGTATAACCAGAGTGATGAACACAGCCTAACGAATTAGGAAGCTGAAGTGGCAATAGGTTAGATATATGTAGCTGCAAGAACCGAAAAACGATGGGGAAGAAAATTTCTCGAATGGCAGGCGAACTTCACTAGATGGAGTAACGACATGGTAAGAGGGAGCAAGTTGATGAAATTGGCTTAGGACCGCGCTTTGTAGCATTCCTAGGGGGAGGCCTATGTTCAGCAGTGAACTTGTTAAAGGCTGTAATGATGATGGTGATGATTGTTGTTAATCAAATTAAAAGAATAAAAGCACTTTTTCATAATAGCTAAATATTTGCCAGGTCATGTCATTCAAACTGATTTATTATGTTGCAGGTTTTTGTGTTTATTATCATAAAATAGTTTTATTCGAAATCCGAGAATTTTCACTACGTTTGTCAATCACTACCATATGGGTTCTTTTTACAGCCAACATTTTTACAATCATATTCCGAGAATACATTTATAATAATACGCCCTCCTGTTACAACATACAATATGGTTTACATGGAGAATAATTTTCGCGTATATTTTTGTGATCTTACAATTGTATCATCATTACAGTTGTAACCCATTAATATTCCACTGTTGAACAAAGGCCTGCCCCAAAAAATTATACAGAGCACGATTCACGGACCCTTGAATTCAGCAA